TGGGGAGGCCCTGGGAGGGGGGGGCCCCCCGGGGAGGGGGGCAGGCTTGGGGGCCCCCCCGCCGCGTTTGGGGGCCCCCGAGGAGGAGCCGAGGGAGGAGTGGGAGGCGGAGCTGCCTGCTGCTGCTGCTGCTGCTGCTGCTGCTGCTGCTGCAGTGCCGGACTACGGGGCCCTTTACCGCGCAGTGAAGAGGGTTTGGGAAACTCCGCTGCTGCAGCGCCACTTGGAGTTAAGTATGGAAAGAGAAGAGCTGCTGCACTTGTGGCGGGCGAAGAAAGACAGGAGTTTGCGGCGCTGCAACAGCTACTTCTTGTCGCGCAGGCCTGCTGCTGCTGCTGCTGCTGCTGCTGCTGCTGCTGCTGCTCCCTGCGCGCAGCAGCAGCAGCAGCAGGAGGGCAGCCCGCTGCTGCCGCCCTCGCCCACTTTGCTGTTCGCCGGAAGCAGCAAAGAGCCGCTGCGGGGCGCGTCTGCTTCGGCCTCGACGACGCCGCCGCCTGCTGCAGCTTCTGCTGCTGCTGCTGCTGCTGCAGCAGCAACGCCGGCTGCTGCTGCGGCGCTCGGCGCGGCGGAAACGCCCGCTGCTGCTGCTGCTGCAGCAGCAGCAGGGGCCCCCGGGGGCCCCGGGGGCCCCTGTTTGTCGCTGCTGTCGCACAGCTTTTACTCAGCAGCAGCAGGAAAGTGCTTCCTGGAGTTCCAGGCCATGGGGGCGGAGCTGCTGACGCTGCAGCTGCTGCTGCAGGAGCGGGCGGACTGCTGCTTCTGGGGTGTACAGACACCCGGCGTGGTGGAGCGCGCGGGCGCCGTGCTGCAGCAGTACGTGCTGCAGGCTGCTGCGATCCGGGACAGTTTGTGGGGTGTTTACCTGCGGTGTACGTACACCCCAGAGGGGCCCCTCTTCTCCAAAAACCCCCAACTCAACTCCAAGTACTTGTGGGGTTTGCGGCGGCTGGTGGGGGCTGGGGTGTATGCGCAGCAGGAGATGCAGCAGTTCGTGAGTTTCACGCGCAGCACGGCGCTGCAGCAGCAGCAGCAAGCAGCAGCAGCAGCAGCAGCAGCCAGCAGCAGCAGAACCAAACGCCTCGCACTCCTCAGAAGCACTTCTGCTGAGGCTTTAATTCCTTTCGAAGTTTATCTTGTCTTTGCCCCTCCTGCATGCAACTTTGCGCAAAGTCCCAAGCCAGCAGCGCGGGCCCGCGGGGCGCCCCCCAGCGCTCTCTTTGCTGCTGCTCTCAGAGCAGCAGCAGCAGCAGCTGCTGCTGCTGCTGCTGCAGCAAAGAAGGCTGCGCCTCCCGCTGCGGCGCCGGGCGCAGACGCGGAGGACGCCGCAGCAGCAGCAGCAGCAACGCCAAGAGCAGCAGCAGCAACGCCAAGAGCAGCAGCAGCAACGCCAACAGCAGCAGCAGCAACGCCAACAGCAGCAGCAGCAACGCCAGCAGCAGCAGCAGCAACGCCAACAGCAGCAGCAGCAACGCCAAGAGCAGCAGCAGCAACGCCAACAGCAGCAGCAGCAACGCCAAGAGCAGCAGCAGCAACGCCAACAGCAGCAGCAGCAACGCCAAGAGCAGCAGCAGCAACGCCAAGAGCAGCAGCAGCAACGCCAAGAGCAGCAGCAGCAACGCCAACAGCAGCAGCAGCAGCAGCAGCGGCGGAGACGGAGAAGCAGCTGAGCGCGCTGCGCCTCACAGACGCGGAAGGGCCCGAAGACAAATGAATTGCATTTTCGATTAAATAAAACTTCTCAAAATAAATAAAACTTCTCAAAATTAATTGCTGCAGTCAAGTGCAGCAGCTGCAGCACGGGGCTGCAGCAGCTGCAGCACGCGACTGCAGCAGCAGCAGCACCTCCTGTCTGCACGCCGCCACTTCCAGGTGTACGTACACCGCATGTCGGTTTTGGCCACGTTCCTATCAGGCCA